CTGGTGTGTGCGGTCACATTAGTTAGCGGCCCCCCGTGTGCTTCCATTATCACAGTGACCCCATCTTTACTGAGGACAAGAGCAGGCCCTGTCCATCTCAGCAGCAGCTCAGCAGAGACGGGAGGCCCAGGGAGAATGAGTTTCAAGCCTGGGACCATCAAGAAGGATCCCGCAGCAGGGTTTCTGCCTGCAGGAGGCTAGGACAGGTTTCTGAGGCCTGCTGGCAGGTGCTAATGGAAGCTGAAGAGTCCTCTCCACCCCCTCCTTGTTCACTTCCTTTTTCCATCTCCAGGCCACCACAGGCTCGGGTCTGCTGCCAGGCAAGGAGCACTGGAGTACAGATACAGAGTCAGAGGTGGGGCAGCCAGGGTCAGGTCCTCAGATCCGGAGCAGGGCAGGGATGCCCCCAGGGTGCATCCTGGGCTCTGGGTCTGCTCTGCTCCTGATGCCCTGTGTGACCTGGAGGAGGGCTGTTAGGCTTTCTGGGCCTCGGTTTCCCCATTAGTACAATGAAGGGTTAGTTGAGGTGGACTGCATGGGACTGGCCAGTGCGGGATAAATTGCCTTGAGGCAGCACTGAGGGAAGGGGGCTGGGCAGTGAGGGAGAGGTGAGGGGGTGGAGGCAGGGACTCTGAAGGAGCCGAATGCATTATCCCAGGAATATTTACTGCCCCAGCCCCTTCTCCCAGTCTGGGAAAGGCCGTGCCGTGCATTAGTCTGCTAGGCAGAGACTTAACGAAGAAGGAGATGGGCTCCAGGGACCGCAGGCAGTGCCTCCGGAGGTCACGAGGCCAGCCCCAGCCCAGACAGGGGAACCTGGAGCCAGAGACGGGCAGGGCTGTCCACACTCAGTGTCAGACTGGGCCAGGCCGGCAGGAGCCGGCTCTGCCATGTGCACTGCTGAATCCCCGGCACCCAGCGCGCAGTAAGATCTCAACCGGGGTGTCTGAGTGAGAACCGAATGACTTAGCCAGTCAGGCTGAGCTCAGACTGAAGCCTCGTCCTCTGGACTGCAGCCGGACCCTCGCTGAGGGGCATGGGGAAGACAGGGGTCACAGAAATAAACTCAAGGAGATGGCTCCCTTTGTTTTTGAGAGGAAATTTCACAATTTTTACAGGGTCACAGAATTCTGGGGAGTGACATGTTTCTCAAAGTACATAGCTGGTCTCACGTCTATCACTGTTCTGACAGTTACACACCTTCCTCTGCCTCTCCCACTCTCTACCATGCCTGCTCTCCAGGGGACATCCGGGACGGAATTTTCCCCCTGGCACTTGGCCCTGCAGGTCCCTGAAGGCCCCTGCGGGCCCCTGCAGTCTCTTGCCCGTCTCAGCCTTCCAGCAGCATTCCTGCCGTGTGATTAAAGGGGGAGGCTGGCCTTGCGCCGGGGTCTTGGCACTGCTGAGGGGGTGCTGGAGGGGTGGGTGGCATGAGGGTATCAGGGCAGGACTGGCCAGATCCCCTTCCCCATTTCACCTCTTTCTGTGAGGGATCTCCTATCACAGCTCTCCACACCCCTGACTTCTCTGAAGGCGGAGGTCCCTCTACTGCCGACCAGTACGGAACGCAGGGGAAGCAGATCTGTCTTACTCACACACACCTCCTACCTACTCCCAGCCATGAACGGTCTTCTCCAGTTCTCTGACTGACAAGGTCTTCCTGCCTGAAGGTCGTTCTCTGTTCTGGGAACTCCTACTCGTCCTTTAAAACCCACTCAAACATGACTTCCTCTAAGAAGTCTCCCTAGGCTGGGTCAGGGGTCCTTACTCTAAACTTTCAGTTTCCTGGGACTTCTTTTCTCTAAACCTTGATTAAATATGACTCCTCCCCTGGGCCATTTGCTTCTCCGGCACTGGAACAGCTGTATTCAGCAGAGGCTGAGTGAATGGCTGGATCTGCAGAGGAGACAGGGCTGAGGGCCCCGGGGACCTAGCGATAGTCCCACAAGACCAAAGGTCACTAGTAGGCTACAAGGAGGATGGCAGCCCAGAGACAGCATTTAATGGGCACTAAGCTTAAATGTCAACTGGCACATCTGAAACTCTCATTCGTTTGATGTTTGACAACTATCAACTGGATACTTAGCTTAGTAGCAGCTCTCATACAAACCCTCAGAGATGTTTGCTGACAATGAGCCCACAACTAACAGCATGTTTTATTTGCCAGGGCTTATTGCAGACTTTGACCATATCATCAGAGGGCACGTCTTTGGAACTGGGGAGGTGATCTGTTAAAGTTCTCTAACCATGTTAGAGACACAGCTACTACTTTGTCCTGGAGGATTGCTCTTTGAAGGTCATTGACAGATGGGAATGCTTCAAGAGAATGTAATCCCTTCTCATGAGGAATGACGGGATAGGGATCTGCTAGGAGAAGACAGGGTGCCTGCACTGGCCCTAACTCTGCACAGAGCAATCCTGGGGAGAGGTGTGCTCCTGGCCCAAACACAGAGCCAGGGCTGGACTGTCAGGAAGTCTCAGGCCGAAGCCTCTGGCACTGAAACGGATGCTCCTGGGAAGAGAGGAGTGAGCCCCTTATCGAGAGAGGGTGCTTCTTACTGAGGTGGCTTGGGAGATGGCTCCCACATTACCTCTGAGGTCCTTTTCAATGTTTAGAAGGCACATATTCTAGGATGATGCAGCCCTAAAATTCTGAAATGCCAGAGGTCTGGGCTTCTGCTACGTGGTTCCGGGACTCTGAGATCCTCAGTGTGAAACAGCCCAGCCTAGGGAACCTGAGGCAGGAGAGAGGCCTCTGAGCCTGGCCCCACTGGCCCTGCCCAGCTGCCTCCTTGCTCCCACATATCCCAAGGAGCCATTTTATCCACCCCCACCTCGAGGGTGCTTCTCCCAGCCTCTCACATGCCCGAGCGGGCAGTTCCTACACCTCTAGCCAGAAGACTGTGGCATGACAAAGGGTAAAGGGAATACCAGATAATTCATCAGAGGGATTGATGGCAAAGCAGCAGAGAATGAGCCATCCTTTTTCTTGTCTGAATTAACTGACTCAGTTCTGTGTGGCTGGAATTCCTCCCTGGTAGCCTTGTGTGATGCTAGATTTATCAGCCCAATTGAATCTCTGCCCCACCAACCCCCATCCCCACCGAGGTGATGACCAGTGGAAGGGTAAGAGGATGCAGAGGAAGCACAGGCTCCCGCCCTGGCTGTGTGTGACCCCACCTCACAGGATAAAAAGCAGCCCTGTTTGGAGAGCAGTGCCATCCCAGCGGGAAGTCTGCGGGTCTAGCCTCCACCCAGCTCTGGGCAGTCAGAGCCCATTTCCTTTCCCACAGCCCAGGAGAAGATGCCAAGGGTCACCACACCTCAGGGAGGTCCAGAACGCCCTCCCAAGTATCCCCTCCAGCCCCTTCAATGCTCGAAGGTCGGCAGGAATGACACGGCAGGACTTACAAGAGCAGAGTATCAGAGATTATTGCAGACTTTATAGAAAACTGCCCGAGGGACATCCAGGTTTCTGGGGTAGGGGTGACAAGGCAGGCCTCAACCAGTGTGTTGGAGGGTGACTTCCTGTGTGCAGAAGCAGCCCAGGCCAGCCATTCTGCCTGACCGAGGGGTGGGAGTCAAGGAGAGGCATCCGCCTCCCCACTCACCAATTGTGCTTTGGGATCATGCAGAAGGCAGGTCGCTGAGGCTCTGACCCTGAACAAAAGGGCGTGTGCCTGAGACAGGAGGTGAGACCCCCTTCCTCTTCCAGAAGACATGGAGTGGGGGGTAGGGAACACGGCAGCAAGAAATCCTTAGGGGAGGGGACACATGGGTGGGAAACAGCACGTATGCAGCATCTCCCAGCCCTTCAGAGACCCCTTCCTGACCCCTCACTGAGGCCATGGTGAGTGGGGGTGACCCTGGTTCTGAGGCCCAACTTTGCACCCCCAGGAATCTCCCTTCCCTGTGGGGACCTGCCAGTATGGATGGGGGTATGTGGCACCCGCACCCGTCTCGCAGGGCTGGAGAGTTCATTTTAGGAGGTAAAAAGGGTGAGCACATTTCAGGGATGGATTTCTTATTGGACCCTGACCTAGTAGTGAGGGGGAGGGTTGAGTATTGAGTGTAAGCTACAGGTGTGGGTGGAATCAAGAGCCTAAGACTTGGACAAGGGTTGTAACTCAGACCAGGTGAAGAGCTGAGTCTAGATTGGGGTGAACACTGAGTGCTAGGCGATCAGAGCCCCAGCGGGAAAGGCTGAGGACTGGCTCCACACTAAGGCTATATAGTGAGTGCCCGTCTCTGGGATGGGAGAGACCACGGGAGCTGAGCCCCAAGCAGGGGCCAAAGAAGGGAGGGGCATGAGCCATAGTGGGGTGGTGGATGGCATGGGACACACCCTCTGACGGTGGCGGGGGGGGGGGCGGGGAGAGCACCCAACACGTCGGAGCCCCAGGATGGGGATATCTATGCAGGATGGAGGGCTAGGAGTTCTGGTGTGAGAAAAAAGGCTCAAAGTCCACAAAAACCTTTTCGTGGGAGTGCTCTGCTTCTGAGACCAAAGTGGGACGTGAGGGTGGGAGCTCTGGGAAGGAAAGTGAGGGCTCCAAGCTGGAGATGGGGGTCCATGAAGTCTAGGGTGTTTCCTGCTGAGAGTAAGGACTCAGGAAGAGCTTGGTGGATGCAATCTCAGGGCTTCTGGATTTTAGGGCCAGGTCTCTGGGTGAGTCTTAAAAGGGGGCGAGGAGAGTTGATGGGTCCGCAGCCTGGGATGGGTGGGTAGGGTTTCTGGAATCAGAAGGGGCGTATCTGGGTCTTTGATAGTGAGGGTTCTCAGAGGCTGGGAAGAAGGGGCTACAGTTTGGGGTCTCCAGGTGTGTGTGGGGGTGGGGTGGGACGGGAAGTGATGCCAAAATTCAAAGGTCTCAGGCAGGTCAGGGGCAAGTCTCAAAAGCCCCAAGCTCGCGGGTGTCCCATACCCACTGCTGCAGGCCAGGTAGCCTCAGTAAAGTCATCAGCTGGTAGGGGCACCTCCAACCTCGAAGAGGCAAAGCTCAGAGGCCCGAGCTCGGGGAAGTGGCGCGGGAGCCGGTGGGAGCGGCTGGGGCAGGCGCACGGCGCGGGTCGGCATCCTGTTCGTAGCGGTAGTGGTAGCCCTCCATCTGGTCCCGGCAGGCCTCACGCAAGTTGCGCATCCAGCGCTGGATGCCGCGGCGGTTTAGGTAGAGCACCATTAAGAAGATGAGGCCGATGAGCGCCAGCACCAGCCCGAAGAAGACATAGGAAGCTTCCAGCTCCGGTCCGGTGAGTTCTACTTCTTCCCCACGACCTTCGGCGCCGCGTTCCGCGCAATGCAGCTGCGCCTCGTCCAGGTCCACGAAAGGCCTGTCGTGCAGGGGCCTCGGGGCAGTGCATCGCAGGCGCCGCGCGTCGGGGACGCGCTCCGTGGCGTTATGAAGCCAGGCCAGCAGGGGGCGCGCGGCGCAGCCGCAGCGCAGGGGGTTGTCGGCAAGCAGCAGGCGCGGCACCGGCAGGCCGCCATCGCGCTCGAGTGCGCGCAGGTCGTCGGGGCCCAGGCCGGCCAGTTTGTTGCGGCGCGCGTCCAGCTGCTCGAGGTGCGGCAGGCGCAGCGCGGCAGACGGCAGGCGGCTCAGTCCGTTGTCCGCGAGGCCCAGGAGGCGCAGCTCGTCCAGAGGGACGAGCGCGGCGTCCAGCGCGGCCAGCAGCGCGGGGCCGCCCCGCGCCAGCGCGTGGTTGAGCTGCAGCGAGTGTAGCGTCGGCAGCCCGCGGAAAGCGCCGGCGCCCAGGGCGCGCAGCGGGTTGTGGCTCAGGTCGAGCGCCGCCAGACTAGGCAACCCGTCGAAGGCGCCGTCTTCCACTACCTCGATGTTGTTGTGCGTGAGGCGCAGAGCGGTCAGTAACGGCAGGCGCACGCCGCCTGCCGCCACCTCCTCCCCGTCCGCGTCCCCGCCGGCGAAGGCGGCAGCGCGCAGCACCGTCAGGTTGGCGCCCACGATGGTGAGGTTGCGCGCGTCGGGCGGCACGTCCCGCGGCGGCTGCCGGAGCTCGGCGCCCGACGCGCAGCGCAACAGCAGCTTGGGGCCACCGAAGCAGTAGCACTGGAAGGGACAGGGCGCAGCGGGCTGGCTCAGTGCCGCGGCCACGAGCAGCAGCCCCTGTAGCAGAGGCCCCCTTGGCTCCGGCTGTCCCGCGCGCGGGGCCATCGCGGCGGCCCCCGCATCCAGCGCCCGGGCCGCCGCTCTCACCAGTGAGTTTGGAGCGCCTTGGGGGCGGGGAGGGGGGCGGGTGGGGCAAGTCCTTGACCTGCAGATGCTGGCAGTCGCGGTCGGTCTGTCCACTGGCTCTAAAATCCGAGGAGCCTTCCCTTTCCTGGCTGGCGCGAGAGGGGTCAAGCGGGGAGCGGAGCCCCCCGCCCCCGGTGCCCTACTCGCCCTGCGCGCTGGCCTCCGGCTTCCGTGGCCGTTCCGGGCTTGGAGCCGAGTGGGCAGGGTTTGCCTCCCCCCCCTCCCCGCCTCCCAGCCTCCTCCTCCGCCCCCAGCGGAGTCTCCTCGCCCTCCTCGCGGAGAGGCGGGGTGGGAGGCTACGGAGAATCTGGGCTTTTGGCTGCTGTGCTTTCTCTCTCCCCTTCTCGGACTCCGGTCTGCTGAGAAGTTTGGCTCTCCCAGGTTCTCGGTGTCTCATCTCCTCCACTTCCCATGTTTAAGCTGGTTCCTTCTTCCTCCCTCTCTGGCACCTGTGGGGCTGGGTCGGACTGAGGAGAGCAGGCAGGTGGGTCAGCCCCACGGAATGAGAATTGGGGGCAGGACTTTAGCGTCCCCCCCTCCCCACAAGCGCAAGCAGTGATGAGGGGTGGGCTGAGAAAGTTACTCATTTTTCAGGCTCTTCCTAATCTCTGTGATCTAGGAGAGAGCTGTGCAAGGAGAGACTGGAAAATCCCCAGCCTCCAGCCCCCTCCACTTCGACCCCGATTACATTAGGGCTGTCTGGGTTACCACCACTGCAAGTCTAATGGGAATAGCGTTTCCTTGACCTTGTCCCACCGCGCCTCCGAAACTCAGGGGCAACCCCTCCGCTTCCCCCTTGCTCACAACGCACTGGCTGCTAAGCCGGGGTTCTTTCATCTCATCTCCTCCACTAAGCTGGACTCCTCCTCCAACCACTCTCCCAGGCCTTGGGACCAGTGGGTGTGGTGATTCAGCTCTTTGATGTCCCCTCCCTGCCCCGGCTCCTAGGCAGACACCCCACTAGACTGTTCTACTGGGTCTCAGGACCCTGGGTTGTTGGACAACATCAACTGTCCCTCCTTCCCTCCATGGTGCCCCACCTATAAGTAATGAATGGGTGGAGGGCTTGGGGCTCTAGTGGTGGGAGAACAGGAGCAGATTTTGCAGCATGAAATGTGGAGTTAAGCTAAGGGGGTTCAGGGATGAGCTGTTTATGGGTTGTTTAGTTCTGGATGGGTTTTTATTTCCAGAACTGGGAAGCTCCAGACCTGACTTAAAGGAACAGGCTCCCGAGAAGGGAGCGCTCTTGGCCTTGGCATGAATTATTTAGGCTGGAGGACTGACACTTGATCCTGCAGCCATTCTGGTATCAGCGGAGCTGGTTGGGATAGAGGCCCCCCCTAAGAATCAGTCAGTCTCTTTCTCCTGAATTAGGGACGGTTGTTGGGTTGATTCCTTCCTTGAGGTTATATTTAACAGATCAATAACACTTAAGGAGAAAAGGCAGACCCTGCTGTGGCTTGGGTCTCTGGCAAGGACCAACGTTAAGGACCAGGGCTGTTGATGCTGGGGTGGGGGGTTGGGGAGGGGGAGCTGGCCCTCCCCTCTCTCCCAGGTATTGGCAAATGAGAACAGTAACTTGCACATATATGACTAGGCATGTCTGCACGTATGTACATGTGAGGCTGTCCACATGTCAGTACACACAGATTCATACTTGATTGAATGTGCACGCACATGCATAGGAAGGCTTGCATAAACTTGTGCAGGGTTCCAGGCAGGCTCAGATGTGCCTCATGCAAGCACATGAAGGTTCATTCACACATGTGCACATATGAACGTAGATTTGAGTGCATCCTGGTATGTGTCCCAGAATCATAAGGACATTCACACTTGAACATTCATACTTCTGGGCCCATGCAGGTTCCCAGGTGTATTCTGGGAGGGGCAGGTTTACAGACCCATGCATGCAAGCATGTGCACCCAGAGACTGGCCAATGCACTCTGAGCCCACTCCTGCCCTCCACCTGCCCTTGGTCTGTGGAGGTAACCAACTGTGGTGTCTTTTCTCCTACAGCCTTTGGGGCTGGGCCCTCACTCAGCTCTTGTACTATCCCCTAGCCCTGGGCCATGTCAGCTCCAAGCCCTGGCTCTCACATTTCCCCCAGAGGGAGGCACGGACTCTTCTTCACTGCTGTGTTTCTACTACAGGGGTTAGCACAAGGCAATGTGCAGTAAATGTTTGTAGATGAATGAAAGACTGACCGAATGAAAAGGTCTCTGCTTCCCTGTTCTGCTGCATAGAGCTCCTTTTGCTTCCACACTCTGAAGACTCACAGTCTAACTGCCAAAGTAAGAGCCCTCTCCCCATACCCCCATGGTGATTGGCTCCTGGTGGGCTGATGCCCCCCAACCACGAAAGGGCTGCAGGGCAGTAGGCAGCCTTGATTGGGGAGTTAAACACCTCAGTTGGGAAAAGAAGACTCAAAAAGAACCAAGAACCCTTAGGCACCAGAGCACAAGGTAATGATTGTGTTTTATAAATGGGGAAATTGAAGTCAAAGGGCCAGGAACTTGTCCCAAAGCCAGCGGTTGTCAGGGCTTCGCCTGGTAACCTGGCACCAGGGTCCTTGCCCAGGGCTTTGTGCAAGGTAGTGGCTGCATCTGAGAGGGTCCATCACCACCGGGAAATTTCGTCCTGACCCCAGGGAGCTCGAGGCCAGGAACGGACGCTCATGCTCGGGTGGGTCGGCGTGCCCTTGGACCTCGCTGCCGCTGCCCTGTCAGCATCTACTTCTGGAAGCAGGTGGGCTTCTGAATTCCTGTCCTTCCCAGTCCTCTCAAAGCCGTTGTGATAAAGTAAATGGAAAGTGCTTCAAAACAAGAAAAGCCATGTCACCTAGGGTCTGGGGGGCCTAGCACCCACCCTGCCACGCTGTCACCCTGTGGCTCTGGATGAGGCACTGCCCCTTTCTGGGACTAATCGGCTCCCATGTCATTTTTACCTCATTTCATCTTCTTTCCTCCCAGCACAGCACATTCATGGTACATAGTAAAAATTGCCACTTGCTGTCTGTCTGTATGCGTCTACCTGGCCTCCTCCCCGCCTTCTCCTCTTGGTTCCCGTCTCTGTCCAGGTGGCCCCTGGAGCCAAGTCTGTTCTCTGGAGGAACAGCCCTGTGCATCTTCGGGCTGTCAGAGTTCAGCGTGTGGTAGGCATTCGATACATGTATGTCTGGCTGCATCTGAGGCTGCATGTTTATTCCCTGAGGCATCCAGCGGAAGCATCTTTGCTCAGACTGTTTGTCCCACCAGGGGTGCTCCTTCCCTTCAGCTCTTATCCAGTCCAGCCCACTGCCCCTCAGGGCTCAGCTTGAGTTCTGCCCCCTCCAGGAAGCCTTTATGGCTCTCTTCTCTCCTTCGAATTTCACTTGGAGGTCGGAGGGCTAGATCTTCCCTGCAGCCCCTGATGGTCAGCAGCCAGGGCCTGAGATCCATGTGACTTACTGTATTGTCAGCACACCACTCAGAACTCAGCATGGAGAAGGCAGTAGGGAACATTTAGGGAATGAAAATGATTTAAACATCTCTGGCTTGATCACCCCAGCCCTGTGAGGCAGGCTAGGTGAGGATCCCCACTCTGCACCAGGAGACTTGGCCCAGAAAGCTTAAGTGCTTTCCCCCAGGGTTGCAAAGCCGACTGACCTGGAGCCTGACAAGAGCTCAGGTTTCCTGTTGCCTCCTCTGTCAAGGCCTTCCCCATCCTCCTGGGCGCTCCCTGCGGGGTGTGGCTGGGTCACGTCCCCTGGAAGCCTGTGGGCAGAGAGCTCCAGCCGAGGAGGCTTTCCTTTGGGCTCAACGAGTGAGTCATCCCAGCCGCACCCTGTGCTGAGTTGAGAACCCCCCACGTCAGCTACTCTGGACCCCAATTCCTGAATTTATTATCCCACTCGGCCCCAGATCCCCTCTCAGCATTCCAAGGTGCTATTCCCTCCCCTATTTCAGCTCCCCCACTGGTGTTCTTCTCACCCCGAAAAGGCTGTGCCCTCTGTGAGGTCCACTTCCTTAGTGGGAAGCCTGGAGAGGTTTGCAACTTCCCTGAGGTCACCCAGCAGGTAGCCCCTTCCCCATTTTTCTCCCACTCCGGTTTGTCTCTTGGAGGGGTCTGTGGCAAGTCTACCTTTCCAGATCTAAGTTTCCCTGTCTGCAAAGAAGAGTGTGTGTGTGTGTGTGTGCGTGTGTGATGGTCTTGGAAGGCTTTTGAGTCAGTGCCCCTTGACTTTTTACAAATGGGGTCACAGAAGGGAAGGTAATACTGTGACTTGCTGGAGTTGGTTTCCCATCCTTCTCAGTGTGTGACCTTGAACTTGGCTCCACCCCAACTAGAAAGTGGTGATAGGATAGGGGATTCTCCCCAAAGTGATGCTGTAGCAGCCTCCCTTCCCTCTGCTCCCCCTTCCACTGAGGCAAGTGGAGGAGCAGCTGGGCAGGCCGACAGGATGGAGCTCAGTCCTTAGGTAGCGGGCCAGGCCCCAGGTTCTCTCCTGCTGCTTCCATGCTGGCAGGAGGGGAAGCCTCCGCTGCAGGCTTTGCTGTTCCCATCTCTCACTCTCCCTTCCCCCACCGCTGTGAGACACAGGAAAATCCATAGCCCCAAGATTCATTTTCTCCATTCAGTCAGCAGAGGCCACTTGGACTCAGGGCAGGGTGGGGGTGGCGGAGGGGGGGACTGGCTTTTAAATAACTCTGATCCTTAATGGGCATCCTCCTCCACTCTGCGGCCTGGGCCTCTGGGGAGAGGCCAGAGTGAAGGAGCTGGGAGAGTCCCCTGAAAGTCACCCACCCGTTCCGCCCTACCCCACCAAGACTCCCAGGCTCTGGGGACAACCCATAATATCCTTACTACCTTTCACAGTGCTTCACCGTTTCTGAGTGGTGTCCCAGGCTGCATTTTTTTTTTATCCCTGGTTTAAAATTGG